CACCCCCAAACCGTGACGTCCCCTGATATGCCAGCTTTGCAGCTGACCATAACAATAGTCAAAACATGAAGAAAATCAATGTGTGTGTGAGTGTTGATTATGTGGTGCGTATCTAAAAACATACAGGACATTCAGGGACATGTCCGGACAGTAAGCCTCGGAAGATATTATGATTACCATTACAGTTACACATAACATAATAAAATAACAATAACCTCCTACCTGCAGACTCCTCAATCTAGTTGACCTTGGCCTATATGCAGCCTGCAGAAAGCTCATAAGAATGACTAAGCATTTAACAGCCTGAGCTAGACATCCTGTCTCCACTAAACATTTCTAGACAACAAATCTCTAACCAATATCTATCTGACTAAGAAATTACCTAACAACACTCACTACACTAACTGTAATAACATATACCACATCACTCTGTTTATGTCTAGGTGTATTGTCCTTCAGGTGGACCAGTCTGTGCCGCAGGGTGTTCCCTGGCTTAAAGTTGACTGGGATATTGTGGTTGTGAAATATCCTTTTTAACTTCTCTGATAAACCAGCCACATACGAGATGACAGTGTTATCCCCTCTTGTTTCTGGTTTCTCCCTGTTGGTGTTGGGCCTCTTCCTACCTTTGGTGAAGGCCCTCTTGGGGTGTGTACAAGCCCTAAGGGAGTTCTGGATGTGTAATTTCTCCTTCTTGGCTCCTTCTGCAGTTATGGGCACTTCCTCTGCCCTGTGATTTAGAGTTCTGATGACTCCCAGTTTGTGTTGAAGTGATGGTGCGAGTCAAAAAGCAGGTATTGGTCCATGTGTGTAGGTTTCCGATATACTTCTACCTTCAGGCTTCTGTCCCCTCCCAAGTGGACTAAGTTTTTTCAGCTTACTATGACCTGGATGACTGAGAATCTGCACGGATCAGTTTTAGGAGCAGTACATGACTGTTGTCAGTGAAAAGGCACTGATAAACCATTTAAACAGCAGACAGCACCAAACACCAGCCAAGCAAAAGCCCCTTTTATGCTGACAATTTGAGTTGCGATTATTGCTCCAGTTGTCTGCCACACCATTCTGTATAATGCATACCAAACCAGCATTGGGAGGGTGTCACTGTTGACCCTCCTTTATTCTGCCACAAGAGGTAGTAAAATGGGTGAAACCGTTCTGCTTTGACTTCTGTTTAAAAGGGAAGAGGTGGCTTTAAGGGTCATTGATAGTGTGAAGTTTTGATGAAGTGTTGTTTTTGTAAAATGCCACTATGGATTTAAATTTTAACATTGCTCACAAGAAACAGAATCCAGTTAACATGTTGTATAGTGTGCACTGTTGTCTGAGGATAAGACTGCGAGAACAAGAAAAGAATTGTGCATTGGGAAAGTAAGAATAAAAGTAAGAATAAAAGTAAAGTACATATACAAATATACCGTCATGTTCAAAAGTATTGGCACCCTGCATTTCTGTCAGATAACACACCACTTCTCTCACACAATCATTTCAATCACAAATTCTTTGGTATTCTCGTGTTTATTTCTTTTGTTTGCATTGGAACTACACAAAAACAACACAGAACTCCAGAAATGGACTGGACAGAATTATTGACACCCTCAGCTTAATATCTGGTAGCCCACCCTCTGGACAACATAACTGAAATCAGTCACTTCCTGTAACCATCAGTGAGTTTCTTCCACCTCTCTACTGGAGTTTTAGACCACTCTTCTTCTGCCAGCTGCTCCAGGTCTCAGATTTGAAGGCTTTCTTCTCCCAGCTGCTGTTCTGAGATCTTTCCACAGGAGCTCTATGGGATTTAGATCTGGACTCATTGATGGCCACTTCACAACTCTCCAGCTCATTGTCTGAAACCATTTCTGGTGCTTTCTGAAGTCTGCTTTGGGTCATTGTCCTGCTGTGAGACCCATGACCTCTGACGGAGACCCAACTTTCTGACACTGGGCCCTACATTGTGCCCCAGAATTCATTGGTAGTCCTCAGATTTCATAATGCCATACACACAGCCAAGACATCCAGGGCCTAAAGCAGCAGAGCAACCCCAAAACATCAGTGAACCTCCACCGTGTTTGACTGTAGGGACGTGTTCTTTTCTTTGAAGGCCTCATTTCATTTTCTGAAAACAGTAGAATGATGTGCTCGACCAAACAGCTGTATTTTAGTCTCATCTGTTCACAGAACATTCTCCCAAGAGTACTGTGACTTCCTCAGGTACGTTTTGGCTTTTTATGTTTCTGTGTCAGCAGTGGGTCCCTGGGTCTCCTACCATAGCGTCCCTTGTCATTCAGATGGTGACAGATAGTGTGAGCTGACACTGTTACACCCTGTGCCTGCAGGTCCGCTTGGATTAGTTTGGAAGTTGATTGAGGTTCTTTATCCACCATTCCAGCAATCCTTCATTACAGTCTGTCATCTATTTTCCTCTTCCATCCACATCCAGGGAGATTAGCTACAGCACCATGGACTCCTTGACAATGTTACACAGTGGACACAGGAACAACCAGATCTCTTGACATGCACTTAGAGCCTTGAGTCTGTCCAGACTTTTCCACTATTGTGGTTCTCAAATCTTCAGACAATTCTTTGCTCTTCTTTCTTTTCATCATGCTCAGTGTGGTCCACACCATACAAAGGTTGAGTCAACTTTTCTCCATTTTAACTGGTTCCAAGTGTGATTTCTATGTTACCAGCACCTGTTGGTTGTTACAGGTGAGTTTCATTCCAAATTAAAGGAGCATCACAGGCTGGAAATACAACAGTTTCTGATGAGTTTGACAAGGTGTCAGTAATTCTGTCCAGTCCATTTTTGGAGTTCTGTGTGGAATGGGTCAGATGTATTTGGCTTTTTTCCCAGTGTTTTTGTCTTGTTCCAATGCAAACAAAAGAAAATAAACATGAGAATACCAAAGAATTTGTGATTGCAACAATTTTCTGGGAGTAGTGGTGTGTAATCTGACAGAAATGCAGGGGTGCAAGTATTCTTGGCAATGACTGTATATATACACAGTTTAGATGCATTTTTCCATATAGAAATATACAAAACTATATTTACAAGGTGTTGTACTGAGGGCTGTTATTCTGTCATACAGTCATAGGTGTAAGTTTTCATCAGCGTCATGGCACAGGGGAAGAAACTGTGCCTGTGCCCGGTTGTCTTGGCATACAGTGACCTGTAACGCTGTCCAGAGGGGAGGAGTTCAAACAGATTATGTCCCGGGTGTGGGGGGTCTGCAGAAATCCTCTCCGCCCTCCTTTTGACCCATGAGGTGTACAGGTCCTCCATGGAGGGCAGGCTGGCACCGATGATTCTTTATGCAGTCCTGACTGTTCACTGGAGTCTGTTCCTGTCCTGTTTGGTTGCTGAGCCAAACCAGACAGTGATGGATGAGCAGAGAACAGACTCGATGATTCCTTTGTTGAACTGTATCAGCAGCTCCTGTAGCCAGCTTAACTTCCAGGGCTGGTGCAGGAAGTACATCCTCCGCTGTGCCTTCTTGGTGATGGTGCTGATGTTGGATGACCACTTCAGGTCCTGGAAGATAGTGTAGCTCAGGAACTTGAAAGACTCTACTGCTGATACAGTGCTGCTGAGTATGGTGAGGGCAGTAGGGTGAAAGGTCTCTTCCTAAAACTCACTGTCATCTCCACAGTTTTGAGCATGTTCAGCTCCAGGTTGTTGCTACCAGGACCAGGTTCAACCTCTCGTCTGTATGCTTGACCCATCATCGTCTTGGATGACCTTGGATTGTGTCATCTTCGAACTTTAGGAGTTTAACAGAGGGGTCCTCCAAGGTGCAGTCATTGGTTTAGAGGGAGAAGAGCAGTGGGGAAAGCACACATCCCTGGGGGGTGCCTATGTTTATAGTCCGGGTGCTGAATGTGGTTTTCCCCAGCCTCACCTGCGACAGGCACAGTGAGCTGGGTCAGTTTGGAATGGAGGATGTCCAGGATGATGGTGTTGAATGCCAAGCTGAAGTCCACAAAGAGGGCCCGTTCATAGGTCCCTGGGGAGTCGAGAGGTTGCAGAATGTAATGCAGTGCCATGTTGACTGCATCATCCACTCACCTGTTTGCCTGGTAGGCAAACTGCAGGGTGTCCAGCAGGGGGTCTACAATGTCCTTCAGGTTGGCCAACACCAGTCTTTAAAAGAACTTCCTAACTTCATAAGCATAAAGCAGCAGAGAGTGAGAAGTCACAGTTGACAAGGAGGAATTCATCCATTTTGTTGGCTAGAAAGCAGAGATTTGTTAGATACTGTATATAGACGGGAGCAGCTTTCGGATCCCTCTCTGACATAATTTAACCAGTCATTTTCTCCAGGTCCCATAGATTGCTGTTGTCCCTCCCACCAAAATGTCCACACAGCTTCTATCTTGTATATCCTTCACTCTCTAAGGCTTTTTGCATTATCAGAAATTTGAGAAAAGGTGTTCGGAGTAAGTTGTTGATGTTCAGTAGTTCTGCTCTGGTAAAGGTAATCCGGGATGCTGCAACCCATCCCGGATTACCTTACCGGAAGACCAAGAAAACATGGAAAAACAACAAACACGAGAGCGCATGCAACCAAAGCAGCCATACGGCATATTCATCTGCCATTGTTGATTTGACTTGTGTGTTGTATGCATGGTTATACGTCACGCTGGAATTCACGCCTCTGATTTTTGGATGCTAAGAAAAGCCGTGATAAACATGGTCCAGTGTATGGCCAGTATAGTGGAATCTCTGTATGAAAGAGGCTAAGGTTAAAGACTATCTGGAAAACATAACGGAGCAGTTAGTAGTTGTTGTAAAGAACTATATATTTTTCTCAGGATTTGGTGGAGAACAAACCAGAGCTTGGACATTCAGTGAACACAAACTCCAGATGAATGCTAATGTCTGAGTCTGCTTGATGTATAAATAAGAAACTGTTTGCTAACATATTTGTTAAAATAACTGTATAAGGTGATAATATTGTGACAGCCTGTCTCACTGTCTGTAAGTGGACACAAGTTACAGCATCTTTAAAATAAATGTAGAAATACAGCATTACTTGCCATTTCAGAGCAGTTGATTGATAAAATTTAGCACTAGCGTTCATTCAAGATTATATGTAGTTTTTAGAAAATCCTTCACAAGGGTGCAATGGTACAATCCTGAGGTTTGATAGAACACAAATAAGTGATATTCAACATGTTACTGTTCTTGTTTTCAGGTATGGTCCCAACATTTTGCTGAACAATGTGGAGGGGTACCAGAGGCCCTCTGTGTGGCAGTGTCTGGACAGGGAAGACAAAGTCATTGATGCTGGACCTCAGGCTGCTGTTCTAAGAGATTTTGACAACAGCATTGTCAATGGCTTCCAGCTAGCAACTCTGTCAGGGCCCATGTGTGAGGAGCCCCTAATGGGAGTTTGCTTCTCTATGGAGAAGTGGGATGTCCAGTCTTCAGCCCCACCAGAGAATCAGGACTCCTTGGTGGATGACTCTATATCCCATGAAGCTTTAGCTGACAGCAAATTGGAAGGGCAAAGTGAGACATGTGCACACATGAAGGGCACAGGAACAGGGCCAAGCCAGGTCAGACACAGGTCAGAGACTACCTTTGGAGATTGTTACAAGCTGGTCTCTGGGCAGCTGATCGCTGCCATGAAGGAGGCTTGCCGTCATGCCGTCCAGGCTCAGCCACAGAGACTCATGGCTGCCATGTATACCTGTGAGATCATGGCCACCGCTGAGGTGCTGGGTAAGAGAGCATTGCCAAGTTATGCTGATTATTAGAAATATTTTAGGTCTGACAGTAGTCGCATATGTACACTACTGTTTAAAAGTTAGGGGTCAACTCCTTTTTTGAAGTTTTTATTTTGACATTTAATCAGCTCAAGTCCTGTGAATAACCTTAAATGGTACAAAGTTAAGAAGTCAACTTCCAAAGGTAAAACAAACAAAAAAGTGACCAAACTAAAATGTGTGTAAATTTTATATAAAACAGGCCTTGTTCAGGGATCAATTAACAGGTTAACTTCCATCTTTTCTGCAGCAGTGGAAGTAAATGAAGCCTTGAAAACTGAAGCAGACAATTCATAGAGGTGTCCCAACTGTTGTTGATGACTGCCAACAACAAATTTTGTAGACAGAGCTGGAAAAGACTGTTACTCCACCCTCTGAAGCATCATTTAGAAAAAGACAACTAACAAAGGAAGTCAGACCAGTTCAGTGTTTCATCCTATAGCAGGATAATGAGAATAGATGACAGATTGCAATGAAGGATTGTTCCAATGGTGGATGAAGGACCTCGATCAACTTCCAAACAAATCCAAGGCGACCTGCAGGTACAGGCTGCAACAGTGTCAGCTCACACTATCTTTAGCCATCTCAATGACAAGGGACACTATGGTAGGAGACCCAGGGGACCCCACTGCTGATACAGAGAAGCCAGAAGCAAAAAAAAGAAATACCAGAAATGGTTTCAGACAACGAGCTGGAGAGTTGTGAAGTGGCCATCAATGAGTCCAGATCTAAATCCCACAGAGCTCCTGTGGAGAGATCTCAGAACAGCAGCTAGGAGAAGGAAGCCTTCAAATCTGAGACCTAGAGCAGCTGGCAGAAGAAGAGTGGTCCAAAACTCTAGTAGAGAGGTGGAAGAAGCTCATTGATGGTTACAGGAAGTGATTGGTTTCAGTTATGTTGTCCAGATACCAAATATTAAGCTGAGGGTGTCCACTCCATTTTTGGAGTTCTGTGTGGAACAGATCAGGTTTGGCTTTGTTCTGCTTTTTGTGTTGTTCCAATGCAAACAAAAGAAATAAACACAAGAACACCAAAGAATTTGTGATCTCAACAATTTTCTTGCAGAAGTGGTGGTTATCTGACAGGAATTCAGGGTGCCAATATTTTTGGCTGTGACTGTATCTGTATCTGTATACAGTATGTGTTGGCTGTAAAGCTATTTTCATGTCTCTTATAAATGATGTCACCCTTACATAGTTTATCCATCAGAGAGCACTGGCAAGTTGAATTTGCAGCTCTAAAATGTTCTGTTTAAAACAAACAAACATTACAGTTTTTTGATCATTGTTGCTGACACACTGATGTATATTGTATCAGATTTATATCATTGTTATCACTCGGTGTCAAATAGTGTAAAAATTCCAGTATCTGCCAGGCTGTAGTATGAACAGTAGTGTCAAGTTTGTTAAAATGTTATCATCTGGAGAATGAGTACTTAGTTTTCCAGGGAACTGGATCAGGTGTTCTGCTGTACACGTTAGATGTATCCTTACCCTGTTTCTCCTCCTGTATCAGGTCGAGTATATGGTGTACTGGGGAAGCGAGAGGGTCGCGTCCTCCAAGAAGAGATGAAGGAAGGGACGGACATGTTTATCATCAAGGCCGTTCTGCCTGTGGCTGAGAGCTTTGGATTTGCCGATGAGATCCGCAAGAGGACCAGCGGGCTGGCTAGTCCACAGTTGGTCTTCAGCCACTGGGAGGTGATTATTATTACTGCAGCACACTCTGCCCTTCTCTAAACAGCTAGACTTTGTGAGCTCTTCTACACCTGGTATTAAACATGTGATCAGTATCTGGGCACATTATGTAGATCAGTGATTCTCAGCCAGGTCAAGTCATAGCCCTTTGTCAGAGGTTTTATTTGATTAAATTATAGAGGCCTAAATAAGATATCCAGACATAGATGGTAATGCTAATGCCAGATGTTTCATAATGAATTTCCTGAGGGGGTGTTTCAGAGCACCTCAAATACTTGTCTTGCTGGATCAGCATTTTTTTCCACTTCAGGGGTTTAATATTTTCCATGTCTGGTATGTGTTATGTTGTTCTCCTTCAACATATATTTACTCACAGATTTAAGCCATCAAGAGAGGAAGAGCTCATCAGATGAGCTGTACTGGTATTCTCATTTGAGCCCTATTTTTAGTTTATATGCGTTTACAGTTTAACAAGTTGGCCCTCCTAAAAGTACAGCAAATTAACTATTGGCAATCTCAGTGTGCAGTGTATCTATGAATATACTGATAGTTTTCACTGGATTAGTTTGATACTGAAGAAAACTTTCTGGAAAAAGTGCCTTTTTTCTATGATTTCTAAGCTGATAAGGACAGCTGAGAGGGAGAGTCATGCTGTATCACAGTCACAAATTACACTGAATGTTATCAGTATGCATTTCATGTTTACATGTTAAGATGTGACCGAGTTATGACTCAGTCACTGCACACAGAATCTGCCTCCCATTTCTCCCTCCACGCCTCCCATTCAGCTCTGCTGCATTCTCTTGTGGAGGCTTTTGGCTTTGTCCTGCTCAATGTCTGTCTGTTACACACAGTCTCATTTGGAACCATGAGGTAAATTGCAAGAAGCACAGTCAATATTTTATTACCCACTTCTCTCTGCAATGTTGACCCTATCCAAATGGGACATAATCCAACAGCGCTGCAATAAATTCTCTGTTTCAGCTGTTCTTCAAAGGTGTTGATTTAACTTTATGCTCATTCTGTTATTTAGCCTAGAAACACTTGTCAGTATAATATAATGATGTATAAATATATTAAATTAAGTCTATAAAACCACAGATTATGCAAAAAGCAATATTTTCTGAAGCTATTGTATATACACAGTGACACACACAGTGGAGTGTGACTGAGCTCGCTATGTGGGGCTGTAGGTCACTGAGGCTGTCTGGTTAATGAGACAGCTCCCTCAAGGGATTTGGAATCAAAGCTGCGATAGACAACATGTCCATTAGAGCGTTATACCTGCCGCTTGACTGACATGAGCCCCAGCACACACACACACACACACACACACATTCTGCAGGCCATATGGATATTGTCAGCTGGGTAATGGGTCAAGTTGTCTGTAAGGAAACAGACAAGATCCTCCGCTGTTGTCTTACTGTGATTTCATTGTCTTCAGTGTTTCACAGCGTTCATTTTAAATCGTGCTTGTGCTGATTTTATTAAACAGCTATGATGGTGATGAAGTGAGAAAACAACCATGATGGGATACTGTCAGACTGACAGTTATCAAACATCTGTGTATACACCTGCTTTATGACACTTTGCAGGTTTACCTAGATCCTAATGACTCCATTCCAAAATTATCTTAATATGTTTTTTAGGTTTATGTCACCTTAATTTTCTCAGCAACATTTCCCATTATAGTTTCATGCAGTCTATTGGAATAGTCCTGGAGTACAACATGCTGCACTGCATGAGGCAAATGGTGGTCACACCAGATACTGACTGGTTTTCGGTGCCCCCCCCAATAAATTAAAACTGCACATTTTAGAGTGGCCTTTTATTGTGGCCAGCCTAAGGCACACCTATGCAATAATCATGCTGTCTAATCAGCATCTTGATATGCCACACCTGTGAGGTGGATGGATTATCTTGGCAAAGGAGAAGTGCTCACTAACACAGATTTAGACAGATTGGTGAACAATATTTGAGAGAAATATGAATATTGTGAGGAATTCAGACAGAAGTTGAGACAAGCTTTGGGTGGTCAGGAAGAACTTCCAGATGACTGGGAAACTACAGCAGAAGTGATCAGGGAGACAGGTAGGAAGGTGCTAGGTGTGTCATCTGGAAGGAGGAAAGAAGATAAGGAAACATGGTGGTGGAACGAGGAAGTACAGGACAGCATTCAGAGGAAGAGGCTAGCTAAAAAGAAGTGGGACGTAGAAAGGACTGAAGACAGTAGACAGGATTACAAGAAATTGCAGCGTAGAGTGAAGAGGGAGGTGGCAATGGCCAAACAGAAAGCATATGATGAGTTGTATGCCAGGTTAGACA